ATTAGGGATGGTTGTGTGAGTAATCTACTGGTGTGCATGTTTGCAGCATTGGGGGCCTTCGTGTTAACAAAGAATGAAGTGATGAGTTTGGTATCCACACATTCTTCATGTGCTGTCTGCTGTTTTATAATCCAGGGAGAAGGGAAGTCTTTGATCTGTGGTGTCCAACCAGTTCTGAAGCTTTAGCCACTATTGTGGCTACTGCTGTGACAAACTAGCTGCACTAAACTGGCCAAATAGCCACATGTGACTAGTGACTAGCATGTTGGACATCAAGGTCCTAGAAATACATGGGATGAAATTAGATTTGACACCATCAGCGGGATTAGGAAAACTGGATAGCAAGGCCCCAATCCTACAGGAGTCAGTCTACACTGAGTCATTTGCAGGAGGAAAGGCCTTAGCAGAGAGAGTTTTTTAAAGTTGACCCAATATTCCCAGAGAATAGTATGTGGGTTTCATTGTATCTAAAGCATCACACAATGGAATACAGTGTATCCTGACAGTCCTTGGCATTCTCCTTGCTCTTGCCAAGTATCTCTCTGATCTCCTTTCTTTCATGTTTGTGGTCTTATGTGATCATTGGAAACTCCACAAGTTGATTCAAGAAAGCTAATAGATGCAACAGTGGCGCTGAGATCTCTTTGCTACTACCTTAATGTCTTGATATATAATGGTGCAAATTATTCTACTACTCTATTACATGCATTTATTTTACATTTTAAAAAATGCACATGTAACCTTACCCTATAATCCCACCTCCACTCATGTAACCCCAAGCATGCACTTTGTTTATCGTCTTCCTTTGCTGTTATGTCTAGACTAAAGTCTAAACTAACCAGGGCAAGGGCCTCTCATATTTATCTTCCAGACATTGTGCTTAGCTAAAGCACCATAACATGGAGAAGTGCTTATTCTTGGAACAACTTTCTCTCTTTCCAGTTTTTTTTGTTTTGGCCTTGAAAATGATGTTCTCTCCTCTTCTTGACCCCTTTTAACCTCTCTCCCCCGCTCCCCGGCATACTCCTTTGTCTTCATTGCTCTGCAACCATTATACGTCTGGTTGAGAAGAATGGGAGGGGACTTTCTTTGGAGCCTTTTAATAGTCTCCTTGATCAGCCAGTGACAAAAATATTCTCTCCTTGGGGCTGAATTTGCAGCTTGAGAGAACCCAGCGTAGTCCAGTTGTTGAATTAGATAGAAATGCCAAGTGAGACTGTCTAGCTGTGACAGTTATCCAGGGGACAGGCAGAATGGCCTGAGAGTGGGGATCGCTGCATAGAGTGGATGCTGAGCATTCCTAGCATGGTGCATCCTCAGAGCCCTGTAAAATCAACTGACTCTCACAACATTCTTATCTATTGTCCTGGAGTTTGGAAGGAATTAGATTTTTTCAGCTGCCTTCTGAGCAGCTCCCCCTGTATTTTTACTAAGATTACTCTGGCTAACTGTTGGTTTTGTGTGCAATAGAATGTTTCTGTGGCCTACACCACACTTTAAAGATGTGTCCGTATAACAGGAGTGGAAAAATACCAGCTCTCAAGCCAGATTCAGTTCCCCAAGGTTAGCCCCTGCTGGGCCCCCACCGCTATATTTACCTACACCGCTGCAGGCATGGGCAGTTGCAGCTTCTGTTAGGGATATATAATCCCGTTTAACTGGTTAACCTGTTAAATGTATTGTTTAACCAATTATCTGATTAAAGAGAGGGCAAGTGCAGGGGGGGCATGATACCTTCCCTCCTTCCACTGCAAGAGGCCGGAGCAGCTCCTGCCTGTGGGGTATAGCAGCCCTCTGCCCCCACCGGTTAAACATTCACATTCCTAGCTCCAATTGGCTGTGTACCACCATTCCTGGCCAATGGCAGCTGCGAGAAGTGGTGTTCTAGTCTGTGCTGTTTCCCACAGCTCCCATTGGCCAGGAACAGCAATCCACGACCTGCAGGAGCTGCAATCGCTTGCACTTACAGAGGCGCAACTAATACAGAGGCTGACTGTAGCCAACTGCTGCCATTTTATTGCGCACCCCTGCAGAAGAGCTATCCTGGCAAAACCTTCCTAACAAAGAAACAGCTTAAACTGGCAAATCTGCCTTTTGTTGCTGGGGTAGCTTGTAAGTCGGCTCCCAGTGAGGTACCAGCTCCTGAGGAGCTGGCTGCTATCCCCATGTTGCTGCCTCTGATGTAGAGGCAGCATCATGATGTGGCAGCTGGCTCCCCGGGAGCAAGGCAGGAGCCTGCATATAACCAATACACTTGGGCCTATTGTTTAATCATGTATATAGTTACGTCCCCTAGTATGAATGAGTCTAGGCTGGAGCTTTTGCCTGCATAGGTCTTGCTGCTGAGCTGTCAGTAGTTAGAGTGCACCTAGCCCACACAGCACCCTCTTCATTTAAAAAATAAAAAGTCTTGAAAGTTACTGGGCTCAACACGGGTAACTGAAATATAATGGGCTGGGCTATCCAGCCGGTCAGACTAAATGATCTAATGGTCCCTTCTGCTCTTACTTGGATGGGTTATGGAGGGAATCAATAATCAGATGAGTCTTCTCTTTCAGTCTGATCCTATATAACTAGTCGGTTGTTGTCACAGGTTTTGTTTTATGAGGTGTAGTTGTCGCCATGTCGGCCCAGGCTATTCAAGAGACAAGATGGGTCAGGCCGTCTCTTATTGGACTGACTTCTGCTGGTGTGAGGGACTTCTTCAGTCTGGGAATGGGTCTCTCACCAAGAGAAGCTGGTGCAATAAAAGATGCTGCCTCAGCCTCCTGTCTCGCTAAGATGTTGCCTGAGACCGTTTAGCTCTCACAGAGATGACAAGCCTGATGCAGAGATTATTGGGTGAGGTTCTTCTGCCTGTGTGGTGCAGGAAGTCACCCGAGACGATCAGAATGGTCTCTTCTGACCTGGAAAAATCTATGGGCTTGTCTACACTGGAAATGCTGCAGCTGCACTGCCTGCCTGCGGCGATGGGAGGGGTTCTCCCCTTGTCATAGGTAATCTGTGTCCCCGAGAGGCAGTAGCTAGGTGGAGCTAGCACTGTCTATGCTGGGGGTTAGGGCTGCTTAACCATCTCATTGCAGGGTGTGGATTTTTCTCACCCCCGGAGTAACACAGTTGTAAATTCCAAGTGTAGATCAGCTGCCTGACTTACTTTTCTGGTTACAGAGTGAGTCAGAATGTGGTGATCCCTTCTCCTTCGTATTATTTTTTTTTAACCCAAATAAACAGCTAAGGAATGGGTTAGCACTGCAAGGACTCCGTCCCGGCGTATGCCGAGTTTGGCATAGGGATGTTAAATATTGGTTGATAGAATAGTCGATTAACCTCATGAAGTCTTATCGGTTACTCGACTATTCTATAGTCCCTGTGGGCGGGGCCGGCAGCCAGTGTGCTCCGGTCCTGCTCCTGAGAAGCCCCCTGCCACTTCATGCTATCAGAGGCAGCAGTGTGGAGACCAGGCAGGAGCTGGTACAGAGGCAGTAGCACAGGGTGGCAGTCGCCCCTGTCCAGGGGAGGGTCTAAGCTCCCACTTTTAAATGCAGAGCTACAGCGGGGGGGTGTCCCACACCCAGCACAAGCCAGAACTGAGCCAGGTTGCTGGCCAGCCTGCAAAAAAAATGTACTGTGGAGGGGTAATGCATGTAGTCTGAAGCATTGACCTATAAGCTCTTGCTTATCGGTTATTCAACTGTGCTATTACATCCCTAGTCCGGCAACTGCCCCCACAGCGGCTCTGCACTAAGAGTAATTTAGGAGCCAGCAGACAGGCAGCCTGGCTCAGTCCCAGCTCATGCTGGGGCCCGGGAGCTGCCCCCGCTTTCCGCTCTGCACAAGAGTTATTGCAGAATGGAAGCCGGGATAGCAGCCAGGCAGTGTTCCCTCTAAGGTGCATGCCTGCACAGGCACACACCAAGAATTTGAGCCAGTGGCCACTCGGCTGTTCCATGGTGGAGCAGCTGGGCAGCCACCATGCGGCCCTGGCCCTGGCTTCAGCCCTCCCCCAGGCCTGGAGCTGAAGGCTGCGTGGTGGGCAGTGGCTGCTCCGGTGGCCGAGGCGTGGTGGGGGGGGGGGTCCAGGGCCGTGTAGCGGGGGGCATTGCCTGAGAGAGTCTCTTGGGGAGCAGCGCTTCTGGGGGGTGCCACAGTAGCACACATCCAAACAAGTGCACACGACCTCATTGTCGGTTCAAGAGACAAAACTCACTCCGCTCATGGATGGAAAATCTTAGAGGGAACGTTGCTCCCGGGACCGAGCCATGATGTCTGCCTGCCGGCTCCAAAGTTACTTTTCCTGCAGAGCTGCAGTGGGGGTAGCTCCCAGAACGCTACACAAGCCAGAACTCAGTCAGGTTGCTGTCTAGCCTGTTAAATTTACTTGCAGAGCCGCATGCAGGAGGGTGGGGGAAGAGGGTGTTGGTGTGTGGCCGGTATCATGAACCAATAAGCATCTGCTTATCAGTTAATCGTTTAACCAGCTACGCTATTACATCCCTAATAGGTACCTACCTATTTGGAAAATAATTTCCAGTAAATAAACGTCAGTGGTTCTCAATCAATCTGGAAGGGCAAATTGAGTGGGGTTCTGTAGGGCTCAGTTCTGGGTCCGGCTCTGTCCAATATTTTTCAGAGATTTAGATCCGAGCATAGAGAGTACACTTCTAAAGTTTGCGAATGATACCAAGCTGGGAGAGGTTGCAAGTTGGAAGATAAGATTATAATTCAGAAATGGTCTGAAGTAAATAGGATGCAATTCAATAAGGACAAATGCAAATTACTCCACTTAGAGAGGAACAATCATCTGCACATACACAAAATGGGAAATGACGGTCTAGGAAGGAGGTTGGCGGAAGGGGGGCACCGTAGTGGAGCACAAGCTTAATATGAGCCAGTAGTGTGACACTGTTGGGGGAAAAAAAGCAAACCTGATTCTGGGCTGTATTAACAGGAGCCTTGTGAGCAAGACAGGAGAAGTCATTCTTCTGCTCTACTCCGTGTTCATTAGGCCTCAGTTGGAGTATTGTTGAGTTCTGGGTGCTGCATTTCAGGAAAGATGTGAGCAGATTGGAGAAGTCCAGAGAAGAGGAATAAAAAATGATTAAAGGCCTAGAAAACGTGACCAATGAGAGAGGATAGAAAAAAACGGGGGTTTGTCTGGCGCTTGAGAAGGGACAAAACAGTTTTCAAATACATAGAAGATTGTCATAATTTTTCTCCCTCCTCGTTTTCATTAACTTCTGATGCTAGAACAAGTAGCAATGGGCTTAAACTGCGGCAAGGGAGGATTAGATTGGACATTAGGAAAGTTTCTTGTCAGGGTGGTTAAACACTCCAGAGGCACCCCCCCAACTCCCTGTGCCCAGCACTTCCCTGTCCAGAGACTGCCCTAACACCCCTTATGCCCAGTGCTGCCTTCACTAAAACCCCACACGGACTCATATGTCCAATGCCTCCCGTCCAGGGACCCCACCACAGAGCAGGGCCTGCCACGGAGCCCCCATTCCAGAGTCGACTCCCCGAGGGTATTGCAGAGCAATGATGGTTCCTAGTCTGACTCGGGATGTTAGTGTGTAGTTGTTTACATGATTAACCAGTTAGGGATGTTAAGTATCGGTTAACTGAATAGTCGATTAATCTCATGAATTCTTATCGGTTACTCGGCTATTCTATAGTCCATGGAGGCGGCAGCTGGTGCGCTCCGGCCCCACTCCCAGGGAGCCCCTGCCATTCCACACTGCTGCCTCTATATCGGAGGCAGCCTCTCGGGATGCCAGGCGGGAGCTGGTACGTGAAGGGAGCCAGTTCAGAAACCAGCTCCCCTCGCGAACCAATTGCCTGTTGCCGCTGATAAAGAGGTGGTTGCACAGGATGGCAGCAGACCCTGATGGGGGCAGGGTCTGAGCTCCCAGACCCAGTGCAAGCTGGAACTGAGCCGGGCTGTCTGCCCGGGTTTTAATACACTTTAAATGCAGAGCTGCAGCAGGGTAGGTCCCAGACCCATTGCAAGCCAGGACTGAGCTGGGCTGCTGGCCAACCTGCTGAAAAATTTAAAGGCAAGGCGGGGGGAGGGGGAGAAATGCGTGTAGTCTATAGCATAAACCTGTAAGCTTTTGCTTAACAGTTCAACGGTTAATCGACTATACTATTACATGTCTATAACCAATAAGCGTAGGCTGGTCGGTTAATCTTAATGACTACACATACACCCCTTGCAGCCTCTGTATCAGGGACAGTAACATGGGGGGAGAGAAGGCAGGTGGGAGCCAGTACAGGTGGGAGCCAGTACATGTGGGAAGCCAGCTCCTTGCATGTACTGGTTCTGCTCCTGTGTAGCCACCTCTTCCGTACACGTGTACACACACGCACGCGCGCTTTGCTGCAATGCTCCAAGCGGGAGCGGATATATGCATGGAGCTGGCTTGTAAGCCAGCTCTCTGCACACAGAGCTGCCTCCCCCAAAGGCAGCAGTGTAGGGGGGGAATACAGACAGAAACCAAGCACCGGTTTCTACTCCCGCTCTCCTGCCACTCGCATGTAAATGTGTAACCGCTAAAAAATCGAGCAGTTACACATTTACACAAATACCCATTCGTTAACATCCCTAATTCTGAGCCTGGAGGAATGAGGGTGGGTGAACTGAGAAGTATTTATGCTCTTCAAAGCTTATTGTTAACATCACCTCCCCTGTCCTACAGAACTCCCCCAAATGCCAAGAAGCGAAAGGCAAGCGACTTGGGGGGAGGCACTCCAGCGAAGAAGATCAGAGTGCCGGATCCCAAGAGCAGCTCAGAAAGTTCAGAAGAGGAGACGGAAGCTGTGGCAGGTAAGAGCCATTCGCTGCTAGCAATGGCCCTTGTGAATTGGCCAGTGGAGAGGACTATAAGGCAACTGGTGCTCCGATAGCTTAATGACATGACTCACTGCCAGTCTAGCACAGCTCATTCCACTGCGGCCTAGTGGTTAGAACTGTGGACTATGAGTTCAGAGACCAGGGTTCTATTCCCATCTCTTCTGCAGGGTGATCTTGAGCAAGTCATTTTTGCCTTCGTGCCTCAGTTTCCCTGTCTGTGCAGTTGCATGCAGCACCTGTTTTCCATTCGAGCCCTACTCACGGGTGAGGAATCTGGGGCAGACTGCCTAAAAACTCAGGATTAGCTGCATGCGCATGTACTCTAGGCAGGACAAGCCATAGGTCGGCACACGGGGAATTCTCTCTTTTGAAACCTACCCATTTGATTTCAGCCAGAGCTAATGGAAGAGGATGAGCCCTTCCTCCTCTGCTCTAGCCTGGCGCCTAAAGGTGGGCAGTTAGATCCAGTTATCACGCTCCATCTAACTGCTCCCTTCTAAAACTCTAGCCAAGCAAATTCCATTGAATTCGAGCATATGCTAAACTTACTGTGTAAGTCACACAGAGGGAGTCAAGTTAAGCTAGCTTGATTTGGCTGAGGAGAGAGCATGTTTTTCCTAGTGCACACGAGGCCTCTTAAACCGTTGTTATATCTCGATACTCCTAGATTAATACACCTCAGTTCCTGCAATGTCCATAATAGCGATGTAAACGTTTAAATGGCTAACCGATAAGCATCGGTTTCCGATACTGTTACACTCTTTGCTGGGGCATGCCAGCCGCTGGCCCGACTCCTAGGAAGCCAGGGGCAGAGCCAGCAGAGTGTCTAACTACTAGGATTTTTAACAGTTACATGGTTACTTTTTTACAATGTTTCTTACATCCGCAATCCGTAACATTATTACACCTCTGAGTCCACCGCCAACATCTGGGGATTTCTCTCCGGTCAAGAGAAGGCAACTCTTTGCTCAGAGGCAGGCGGGGTGGTAAGAGGTAGGGGAAGCAAACGCTGCATTGGAGCCGCGAGCTGTTTCCTCGGGTGCAGGGGTGGTGTGCAGAACCAGAGTCGGGAGCTAGTGCTCGTCTCCAGTGGGTGGGGAGTGAGTTTTGTGTCTTGAGTCTTTGCCTAGGGGGGCTTTCCTTTCTGTGTGGCAGCTGGCGCCCCCGTTGTGGCTAACTCCACAGCACAGGCAGAGAGCAGCGAGGATGAAGACTCCTCTTCAGAAGAGGCGGCGGTGGCTGGAAAGGAAATAAAGGCGGTAAAGTGACATTTTCTCTGTGCCATCCCCAAGGCTGCCAATGGCCTGAGGCCAGGCTGCCTTAGAAAGTTATAGCAACATTGGCTGGGGGCGGGGTCACAAACCCTAGGTAGCTCTTTAGAACATCAAAAAAGGGCTTTTGATGCTGTCATTTTTCACGTGGGGACCTGTATGAGCCACACTGGTGAGTCCTGCCACACAGTGGAGGGTGGGGGTTTGCCGGTTTGCTGGCACTGATGCAACCCTCTTCTGCCGTAGGCTGGCCCAAGGGCGCTGTGTGTACGGCTCCGTAAAAGGGAAGCTGCTTGTCGAGGTTGAATGTGCTCCATGAGCAGAGTTAAGAGACTCCAGTGGTATTTGGATGTGGCACTATTGTAGGGGGAGGGCACAGAACTCCTCCTCTCACTCCATATGCTAGTTAATTAGGTGCTCACTTCAGGGGGAAAATACCAAAAGCCTCGTTAAACCCTCCTCTGCCTACCTGGCGCACTCGGCACAGCAAAACTCGTGTCATGGAGCCGGGTGTTCTGAAGACCAGCTATGTTGCTGGTGTGAGTCTCGTCCGTTTCCTGGGGCTGCACCCGGCATGAACGTGTCCCTGAGGGTATGTCTACACTTGCAGCCTATTTCAGAATAGGGCTGCAAATATAGGCATTCGGAATTGCAAATCAAGCCCGGGATTTAAATATCCCGCGCTTGATTTGCATCTTCCTGGCCGGGCGCCATATTTTGTTTGTTTTTGTTTTTTTTTTAAATTTACAAGCCCAGAATAACTTCCCGCGTCTACACGTGGCAGGGACCCGGTAGTTCGAAATAAAGCCTTAATTCGAACTACCTGTTGTTCCTCCTGCAATGAGGTTTAACAGGTAGTTCAAAATAGGGCTTTATTTCGAACGCCTGTTTCACTGCCGCGTGTAGACACGGGCAGTTATTCAGGGCTTGCAAATTTCAAAAAATGGCACCTGGCCAGGAAGATGCAAATCAAGCGCGGGATATTTAAATCCCGGGCTCGATTTGCAATTCCGAATGCCTACATTTGCAGCCCTATTCCGAAATAGGTTGCCAGTGTAGACATATCAAGAGTGCCTCCAACTTGGCATTGGCTATGGAGAGCGTTAGTGACTTGCTGCATTTCAGCATTGCCTGGGCGGTGGTTCCTAACGTCTAGTCCAGGGCTTCTCGGTTCCATGAAGAGGACACGCAGCCGGCTGGGCACTGACTGCTTGTGTTGTTTCTCCAGGTGAGAACTGCAGCGGCGAGCAGCAAAGCGGCTAATTCTCTGCAGCCTGCAGCCCAAAACAAAGCCAATGCTACTTCAGGGAAGCCAGGGGCAGCTGCTGGAGCAGGGAAGAGCAAAGCCACCTCGAACAAGCCCACGCCTGCTGCACCAGCTGCTGCTTCAGCTCTGGCCAAAGCAGGACAGAAGAAAGCCCGGGCTAATAAGCCAGGACCTGCTGTAGCAACTCAGGCCAAAGGAGGACAAAGCAAAGCTGCAGGGGCGGCGACGGCAAAGGCGGCAGAGAGCTCGGAAAGCAGCGACTCATCAGAGAGCGAGGAAGAGGAGAAGACACCAGCTGCCAAGCTCCCAGCTCCCAAATCAGGTGAGAAACCCATGGGCTTAGGATGTGTTTCCTAAGGCGTTGCAGGGGGGTTGCGCTGGCCATGAGCCGTGCATCTATGGTCTGGCTCTGCAGAGGAGCTGGTAATGCCACACACCTCGTGGCTTCAGCTCTCCTGTGGTCTGACCCTGTAGAGCCTCAAGAAACCTGGGAGAGGGGAAGCAGCATGCTCTGTCAGTCACAGACCAGATCAGGTCGCCTGGCTCCGTGACCTAGAGGAATGGCCGGGATCTAGTGTCTAGGGAGCAAATGCTCCAGTGAAGGCTCCTGTTCAGTGTCCAGTACTGCGGAGTGCTGACACGTCAGGGCCACCGCGTGATGGTACAACGCCGCTTTATTCTGAGCGCTCTGAAAAAGTCCCAAACTTTGGTCTCAGGCCAGAAGTGATTGCTTAGTGATCGGAAATTCCTTTCTTCATGCTGGAGGAGGAGGGAGGGAGGAGAAATAGCTCATTAAAAAACACCCTTTGCTCATCATTAGCTCACGAGTCTGGAAAAGCAGGCTCTGCGCTTCGGACCGGATCCTGCACCCAGGAGAGGCCACGCTGTACCCGCCCCAAGAGCCGGGACTTGGGGCGACTGGTCCTCCTGGAGGGAGGGTCTCCTAAGGGAAGTGTGTGTGTTGGGAGCGGAGGGTTTATCTTAAAAATGTGACTGGGAACATTTTGATGCGCTCAGGAGGCACCTAAGATGTTAGCCGTGTCAGAGCCCTGCCCCCGTGCCACACGGCTGTTGACTCTCTCCTGTGCCTCCTGACTGCTCTCTTCCATAGCCTGACGGCCGCGTTACAAGCGTGGTCTGCACTGACTCCACGAGAGCGCGCAGGGTGAGTGAGGTCTCCTCTCTGGTGTTTCAGAGCTGAAGCAAACGCCTGGACAGGCGGAGCGCAGCAGTGAGGCCTCGAGTGATGAGACTTCCTCGGAAGAGGAATTGGGAGCCCCAGTGCCCCAGGTATCTACCTCCAAGAGGGTCTCCTGAATGCTTGGAACATCTCCCACCCCCACCATCCTCTAACCTGCCAGGGCCTCGCACTGTGTAGAACCTTCCCCAGACTGGCTGGGGTGCGGACAGGCCTGCCGAGGGAGGGGGCACTGCCCTGGGGCCTGACGATTCTCAAGGGCCCTTTAAATGGCTGCTGGAGCATCGTGTGGGTGGCTCGAAAGGCTGTGGGGAGGGGTAGTGCAGAGGGCTGGCTGCCCATGGCCATGCCCCTTCAGGTTGCTGGAGCCCCCACCTTTCCCAGGGGCCTGGCATGGCTGTTGGCTCCCTTTGGTGGGGACTAAAACCAGTTTTGTCTGCAGCCAGGGCACTGAAAAAACAGAGCTAACCCCTCCCCCCCATCCCAATCGGCCGCCCTGCCCAGCCCCTGCAGCTGCAAAGGGAAAGTCTGAGTCCTGCCCCCTCACTGGAGGGTTAGCGCACAGGGAGGAGCAAACCCTGAGCTGCTCGGGCCCCTAGGACGCAGTCAGTGCCAAGAGAGCGCCAGATCGTGCTGGTCAAACGAACATCCCCAAATCTCTAGCATGAACCTGTCACAACCACAAGTTGCTGCCCAGCCCAAGAGCCTTGCACAGAAGTATGGCCCGGCTCGCTGCAGGGCGGGGCAGCCTCGTTTGTAGCTAATCCCGCCCCCTAATTAAGGCCTGTGCTCTGGGCTGATCTCCTCCACCACCTCATCGGTTGGTCTCGTCTCTTGCCGCCAGACAAAAGCGGCGGTGAAAGCCGCGCCTGTGAACGCCACCCCAGTGAAAAGCGCTCCGGTCACTCCAGCGCCCACCAAGAGGCCCCCAAGGAAAGTGTCCACCCCAGCTCCATGGAAACCCGCCGTGGATGCACCAGCCCAGAGCAAATCGGCAGCTCCTGCAAAGGCGGCAGCGCCTGCAAAGGCGGCTGGGAGCGCGAAGGCGGGAGCCACTTCTGAGAGCAGCGACTCCTCTGACAGTGGGGAAGAGGAGGCCACACCAGCTGCGCAGGTGGGTGTCTTGAGGCGTGGTGATGCCAGGGGTAAGAACCTGGTGTAAGAAGCACAAGCCACTGCCAGGTCGCCCTGGCAACAGGGTAATGCTTCTCCCCTGACCCGCCCAGGAAAGGACAATGCTACTGTGACCCCCCCCCGGTTCTATAACTGAGCCATGCAAAGATGGGGAGTCGCAGCCAAGTGTTAACCTGCAGCATCGAGCACGACAACTTACCTGGCATTGTCCAGGTCTGGTCCAGCGGTGGAGGGGGGAGGCGTGCAGGCTGGCCCTCGCCTGAGGGGGGAAGGGGATAGGCTGTGGCTTCTGGGCGGGGGCCAGGGCTGTGCTGCCTGGCCCGGTGGGAGTCTTCCCCTCCCCCCCCTCCTCCAGTCCAGCGCTGCAGTTAAGGGCCAGAGGGGAGGGGTTTGAGGCAAGGGGCTGGCAAAATGTCAAGCTCAATCCCCAGCTGGCCACTCCCTTCCTGGTGCTGCTGCCTTCAGGGGTCACTCTGCTGTCCTTGTGTGTCCCTCCCCTCCCGGCTCACTGCCCCCAGCAATCGTTCTACTGCCCCCATGGTCACTGCAGTACAGCTGCCCTCGGATCGGCCTCTTCCCTTTCCGTGGTGCGGTTAACAGTCAGATTCCGGGTGCATCCCATTGTCCTGGCACAACCACACCCTGGCCTTGAGCGGAGTGAAGAGGAAGCTGCCTCTTACTGATTAGGAGCGGCTCTCGCACGAATGGACTTGCAGGCAGATGCACAGATCTCTGAAAAACAGACCTACATTCGCAAACTCTAGTGCCCCCTGATTTCTGCTGCTGTTGTGCCCGGCTAGGGAGGTTTGGGCCTTTGCCCCATTGGTTCCTGTGCCGTGGGGCCTGTGAAACAGCTGTTCCTGTTCTCAGGCAGCCTGTTCTCCCCCCACTGCATGTGCAGCTGTGACCAGCTGGGCAGCAGAATGTTGAGGAGTTTGTCATGGCTCCTAGCTGCTGGGGCGAGGGAGGACTGATGAGGGGCACCTGGCTTGCCACGTGGGTCTCCCATCCACTCTTGACATTCCTCACTTTCAGCCGTGGCATTTTTTTACAGTTGCCTCCCAGAGCCACATCTTGACCCTTTTCTTTCATCCTGGGAGGACACCTCTCCCTTCTCTGAGTCCTGGATTCTTGTGTTTATTCTGTTCCTTTCCCTTGGCTCTAGGCAGGTACATCTGCAAAGGCTCCCCCGGCCACGGCGCCGCCACTGAAAAGCGCCCCAGCCACTCCGCGGAAGCAGCCCTCAAAAGTAGCTGTGCCCAGCCAGGCCAACGCAGGGCCTGGAACACCCAGAACCGCTGCCAAGGCCTCTGGGAGTGCAGAGCCAAGAGCGAGTTCGGAGAGCAGCGACTCGGAGAGCAGCGAGGACGAGGCCCCCCCTGTGCCGATAAGCCAGAAGGTTTGTGGTTATTGTCCCTGGCGGCGTTTGGCGAGGCTGGTGATGGCTGGGCTAGTGGCTGGCGGGTGCTTAGGATGCAAAGTCTTTCTAGTGCATGAAGTCTCAGCCCTGTGCAAGGAGACCCTCTGCCTTTGCTTTGTAGAACTGCAGACTGTTCTCATTTGATGGCTCCCCACTTTATTTAAAGCAGTTTCCAAATGTCTGGTGTATAGTTACTGGATTCTCTGGCTCCTTTGATCTTATTGGCAGCAGCCAGCTCTACAAACACAAGTCATTACACAACACTATAGTAAAATACAAGCCAAGGCCGTGAGGGCTGGAGGGTAGATAGTATCTCTTGGCTTAAACGATCTCCCATTCGTCAGCTGCGTGAGGCGCCAAACCAGCACACACTGTACACGGAGAGCAGTTCATCTGCTTGCATCCAGATGCTGTTGTACAAACCGTAACCGGTCAGAGCCCTCCCTCATGCTTCCATTCAACTGGGACACGTGACAGGTCGCAGCACGGATCCATGGGAGGCCACAAGCAGCTTGGGCTTGCGTCTTGGGTGCACATGGGGTCTGCTGGCGCTTGCATAGGCCAGAACCCGCTCCCGCCGAAGCCAATGGCGAAACTTCCATCCCTTCTGGTGGGATCGGGATCAGGCGGGAATCCAGGCAAAATGGATTTGTGCTTCTCGGTTGCTTGTGATTTAACCTAGCAGTGAGCACTACCCTTGGGATTCATTACTGGTAGGACGCGTCCATAGCCACTTGGCCGCAAGTGTTCACACGGCCTTCCAGAAAGCAGCAATCCAGCAGGATGCAGTGTGACTGTGTGCAAGTCCCCCTCCCCCTGCGGTATACTTCATCCTGCCCTGCATCTCTGGGTTTTCTCTGTGTGCCCCTAGGGTGAAGACAGGCGGGAGTCTTAACGAGCTCTGCGTGTTGGCTTTTACTGTGGAGGATAGGGAGTCAAAGGTGGGGTGCGGAGCCAATTTCCCCCAGCATGTATTAGAGGCAGCAGCCTTTTCCTGCAGCTGGCCCAGGCTTGGGACCCCCCCCCTGCCCTTTACAGGGGCCGAGTCTGGGACCTACCACCGCTGCAGCTCTGCATTTTAAATGTAATAGTCGTCAGGCTGCCTGCCCGCCTGGCTCTTATTACATTTAAACTTCAGAGCTGCAGTGGGGGTAGCTCCCAGACCCGGCGCGAGCCAAGACTTGAGCACCTTCCCCTACCGCCTAATCGTGTCATCAATTAAAAATTCTATCGACTGCACGATTAGTTAAATACCCACCTCTTAACATCCCTAGTGGAGGAACCCGAGTGGCTGGCGCGATCCCAGTCAGTCTCAGCATTTCTACACTGCAGTGCTGGTTCAGAACAAGAGCTGTGGGAGGAGGAGGCGGAATTTATGCTGCATGAAAAATGTATGCAAGACCTGAGAGATTTGGCCCTTCTAGTCATACGTGAAGTGTGTTTTGTTGGAGAGTTCCCTACCTGAGGCAGAGCGCTAGCTCTCTTGCTGAAGGGCCATTAAAGACTTTAATGTCTCCTTCACCACTGTTTGCATATTTGGGACTCCTACCTACCAGCTGCTGCTACCGAGAGAGGCTGGGTGTTTTTTTTTTTTTTTTTTTTTTTTTTTTTTTTTTTTTTTTTATTTTTGTGTGTGTGTGTGTGTGTGACCAGCATCCAAGGACTTGGAATGAAGGTTGGGGTTTTGCATTAGGCTCATTTGTGGCCACAATCCGTCTCTCCCGGCAGAACGCCTCTGGGCAGATGGAGAACATGAGGTACTTGGCCATATGTTTAACCACTGACACTGAAGCTGCAGGATACTAATCTCTGAATGAGATCCAGGCAGGTACCTAGATTTGCAAGCTGCTTCATCTTTCACTGTGGGGGTGGATTAGCACAATTAAAAGGAACATCCTGCCTACATCAAACTACTTAATTAGTATGTTTACCTCTGAAGGTTTAGGATTGTTTTGTCAAAGAAACTCATTTGCAAAGGTGTGGGGGGATTTGTTTGTTTGCTTCCCCTTTGCAGGGGGAAAAACCAAATAAGGCTGACCTTGAAGAAACTGTGTCTTTCAAACTTTCCGTACCCACCTGGTGCAACAAGGCCAAAAATCTCATCTAGGCTCCCCAGCGTTCCTGTGCCTTGATGGCCGGATGCTATGTCTGAGAAACTTGGGCCTCGCTTTACATGTGCCGCAAGTTTGCGCCTCCGCTCCGCACCCAGAGTAGAGGCACATGGCATTAATGGGCGTGACCGGGAATGTGGCTGTGAGCTTTTCCCTGGCCTCAGGGCTGAGGTGATGTTCCACTAAACCCTTATGGAGATAAAGCGGGACTGCTCCAGCCCCCCAGCTCAGATCCTTCAGTGGACATGTCTTTATTTTTGTGTGTTGCAGTACAGGCGGGTTACTGCACTCAGAGTGGGCATCGGGGAGGCGCTCTCTGGGCTCGCTGGCAGGTGATAGCCGGGGTGTGGCTGATGCGGCTTCGGGGGAGCATGCTGGCTTTCTGACTCATGGCATCGTGCAAATAAACTGAAGAGCAGTAGTGGGGAGGGTAACTCGTTCCTGCCATTAGGAGCTATGCATAGGGGAACAGAGGGGAGAGGAAAAGGGGAAGTGAGGGAACTGAGGACAAGAAGCTCAATCTGCAGCATTGGTGAACAACCTGCAGCCCCTGTGGCCCGCACACCCCCAGTCTGACCCCCTCTCCTGGAGCCCCGTACTTCCTGCTCCTCCCCTTCCCTCCCAGCACTTTTGGAATCCTGTGGATCAGCTGTTTGCAGCTGCTCAAGCTCTGGGAGGGAGGGAGGAGCACAGAGGGAGCACGAATCAGCGGATTCATGGAGCGCTGAAAATGCTGGGGGAGGGGAGGGAGTAGGAAGTGCGGGGCCTCGGAGCCCTGGGGCATGAGATGCATTGGGGAGGGGACAGGGAGGGGCTGTGCAGGCTGCAGGAGGTTGCCCACCGCTGACAATCCCACAGGCCACTAAGACAGAGGGCCACTCCTGTGGTCCACTCGCTAGTCTTGGTTGCCCATGGCTGATCTATAGTCCCACTCCCATTATCTCATGGATCTCTCCCAGCATCGCCAATATATCAGACTTCTTTCCCCTTGTCTTTCGGCTTCTTCCAGTCTCCTGGGTCCATTATAGGCACCGACCCTGTTCTGCACTGCTCTCCTGCGGGCATTTTACAGCCGGCATAGTTCAGCCAAGCGACAGAGTGAATCCCAGCCTGGACTCCCTCACTAGGACATGGTGGCCCTGTAGAAATGCAGCCTTCTGGGGAAGTGACGTGTGGGGGAGGCAGGAGTTAGCCCTCTCTTGCTGGGCTCTGGCTGGTCATGGGGCAGACTTGACTTTCCAGTGTCTTCCTTCTGCACACTGCTCCGTGTTCTTACTCAGTGTCTGGATCAGGGATGTAAGTGACTAGTCGACTATCCAATAAGCAAAAGCTTATCAGTTAACTAGTCCCTCGACTAGAGGCAGCAAGGGGGAAGAGCAGGGGCC